TCTGTCAATGTATGCTTGCAGATGTTTCTGTATTACCTTTAGTAAAACTTTACTCACATGGGACATCAAAGAGATTGTCCGATGATTTCCGCATTCCGTTAGGTCACTCTCTTTAGAATGGGCACAAATACGTATCTCTTCCAATCAGTCGGCCAGACAGTTGTCTTCCAAATCTCCTGGCAGAGATGAGTGAGTGCCTCCTGTGCCACCTCACTTTCTTGAAAGATTTCCATTTTTATTCCATCAGTTCCTGGTGCCTTATTCTTTGCCAATTCCTTCAATGCACCATGGACTTCCTCCTTCAGTATTATTGGCTTTTGATCATTTGCTACCTCTTGAAATGGTTGAACATTAACCGTTTCCTTTTAGTACAGTGACTCTGTGTATGCCTTCCATCTTCTCTTGATGCTTTCTGCATCATTCATTAATTTTCCCAGAGAATCTTTCAATAATGGAAGTTGAGGCTTGACTTTTTCTTCAGTTCCCCCAGCTTGAGAAATGCTGAGCATGTGCTTCCTTTTTGGTTTTCTGATTCCAGATCTTTCCACATTTTGTTGTAATATTTGGCTTTATCTTCTCAAGCTGATCTTTGACATTTTCTGTTCAGCTCTTGTACCTTGTAATTTCTTCCATTTGCTTTAGCATCTCTACACTGGAGAGCAAGTTTCAGTGTCCTTCTGACATCCATTTTGACCTTTCCCTTCTTCCTTTTCTTCTCAATGACTTTTTGCTTTCTTTCTGTATGATGTTCTTGATGTCATCCCACAACTTTTTTGGTCTTCGGTCTTCAGATTATCTCTAAATTCTGGTAGGATATATTCAAGGTCATATTTTGTCTCTCGTGGACTTGTTTTCATTTTCTTCAGCTTCAGTTTGAATTTGCATATGAGTAATTGATGGTCTGTTCCACAGTCTGCTCCTAGCCTTGTTTTGAGCTTTTCCATTGTATCTTTCCATAGATGTAGTCAATTTGATTTCTATGTATTCTATCTGGTGAGGTCCATGTGTATAGTCATCTCTTATACTGTCTAAAGAAGGTGTTTGAAATGAACAAATCATTGGTTTTGCAGAAATCTGTCATGCGTTCTCCAGCATCATTTCTATCACCAAGACCATATTTTCCAACTGCTGATTCTTCTACTTTACTCCCAGCCTTTGCATTCTAATCACCAGTAATGATCATTACATCTTGATTGCATGTTTGATCAATTTCAGATTGTAGAAATTGGTATAATTTTTCTGTTTCATCCTCACTGGCTTTAGTGGTTGGTGCATAAATTTGAATAATAGTGGTATTAACTGGGATTCCCTGTAGGCGCATGGATAATATCCTATCACAGACAGCGTTGTACATCATGACTGATCTGGATATATATTTTTTGACAATGAATGCAACACCATTCCTCTTCAATTTGTCATTCCCAGCATAGTAAACCATGTGGTTGTCAGATTCAAAATGGCCAATACCAGTCCATTTCAGCTCACTAATGTCTAAGATATCGATGTTTATGCATTCCATTTCATTTTTGACAACTTCCAATTTTCCCAAACTCGTACTTCATACATTCCATGTTCCAGTTTTCAATGGATGTTACAGCTGTTTCTCTTCATTTTGAGTTGTGCCCCATCAGCAAATGAAGGTCCCGAGGGCTTTTCTTCCACAGGCTTTACTCCATTCGCATCATCACAGTCAACTCTACTTTGAGGAGGCAGCTCTTCCCCAGTCCCATTTTGAGTGCCTTCCAACCTGAGGGACTCATTTTCCCGCACTATATCTGATAGTGTTACTCTATTAATCATAAGGTTTTCAGTGACTAAATATTCAGAAGTAGTTCATCATTCCTTCATCCTCATCTGTCTTCATCTGGAAGCTCATCTGAAACCTATCCACCATGGGTGACCCTGCTGGTATTTAAAATACCGGTGGCATAGCTTCCAGTATCACAGCAACTCACAAGCCACCAGTACGACAAACTGACAAATGAGTGATGGGGTCTTCTTTGTAGGTGTATGGATATTATCCTATCATAGATGTATGGTAGAGTAGATACAAGACCCAGGGAAGAGCTCTCTTGGAGCAAAATAAAAGTAATGGAATAGTGTTTACCATGCTGTATTGTAATTGTTTACTTATTTTTTATCCCTCACTAAACTGTGAGCTGCTGGAGTTGGTGTGGTGCTGTACTCAACCATAAGGTCAGCAGTTCAAACTCAACAGCCACTCCTCGAAAACATGGTCACTTTGGGTGAGAAACAACTTGACAGCACTTAACAACAACAAACTGTGAGCTCATGAAGGCCGAAAGTATGCCTGTATTGTTGATGATTTCATTACTAATGCTTGATACCTAGTGATTCCGCAGTAAATATTTGTTAAATGAATTTATCAAAGAATGGATAAGGAGCTCTGAGGAGATAGAAGCCAAACTAGGAGAGGACTGGGCAAAGGAGATACTCCTAACTGACTTCATATGAAAGCAAATTTATATAAAATAATTTTCTTATAAATGCCTTTACTTTTGAAGCAGTGTAACTGGCTGCTTTATCCATTTTTCATTTCCTTGAGTCACAGGTGGAGAGGATAAACAACGAGGTTTTGAAAGCTGTCTTTGAAGCAAAGAAAAAAATGATGAAAGGGAGTACACAGAAGGAACCTGTGAGCCACACGTTGTTTCAGCAAGTCCCACACCAGTTTTGCAATGCAGTCTGCAGAGTTGGCTTCCAGAGAATGTACTCCGTGCCCTGTGGTAGGTGTCAGCCCCTCACATCTGTGGGAACTCCTAGGCAGACATCAACAGATGACTCATCACTACTAACTTTGGTTGCTATGGGGAGAGGACCATTTTTTTCAACTGAAATTTAAAGGTAACATCCTTTGGGAAAGGAGCCCTGGTGGCACTATAGGGTAAGCACTGGATTGTTAGCCACAAGGTCAGTAGTTCAACCACCTGCTGGTCCACAGAAGAAAGCTGAGGCTTTCTACTCTGGTAAGACTGATATAGCCTGAGAAACCCTCTACAGGGTCACTGTGAATTGGAATCGACCTGATGGCAATGGGTTTGAGTTTTGGTCATTTGGAAAAGGTTATTTTAAGAATTTTCCTTCTTTTGTTAATGCTGTGTTTGATCTTGATGAAAATGTGAGTAATAAGATGTATAGTCACCCTTTCTGGATTCCTGTATCTTATCTGCAGAAAGCACCTTCTTTAGAGTGCTTTGTTTGTTTGTGCTTACTTATCTTTCACCAAAATTACTATCAATGCCACTGAACCAACCTCATCTTTTAATTTCCTGAATTTAATGAAGTTAGTCTTTTCTTCATTACCCACAGGCAGCTAGTAAATGAATTGGGTATCATGTAGCAGGTGAAGTACAATATTTTTAAAGCCTTCTCAGGCAAGGGACTCCTGGTGTAGCACTGTAGGATCAGCACTGGTCTGTGAACCACAAGGTCGGCAGTTCAAACCCACCAGTTGCTCCTAAGAAACCTGCTATGAGTCAGAACTGACATGATGGCACTTTAACAACATCAGACAAGGGGGTTCTATTGTAGTTTCCACACCTCTTTTCATTTCTATACTTAATTGCTGTATTTATTCTCTTTTCATCTAACACTAAAAACTTTCTGGCTTTAGATCTCTCCAAAAGAGACTGAGAAATTTAGCAATAATTATAGGGGGCATGGGGAGAAAGATGTTATCTAGTAGTGCAGCTTGATTCTGCCTGGTCCATTAATTACATGGCTTTTCAGTTTTCCTATCAAACTGTGTAGCCTGATCCTTCCTGTGGAGACAACTCTGATAGTGTTGGCTTCTAGACAGCAAAGGGTCTAGAAATCATCTTCCCTTTGCCCCATAGAACGTATAGGCAATACCTGTAAACACTGAACACAAACAATACTTGGGGATAAGAATAGATAAATGAATTCACACTAAGAAGTCTTTCAATGTAACCAGGAAAGTTATGACCAGTTTGAGTCTTTCATTGGTGGTCTAAAAATTCCACAGCTTGTATTTTTTCCTGAAGCTTTGTTAGGACTGGCTCTTCTACCCCCACCCTCTCTCTCTTTTAACAAGATTCCCAGGCGATTCTTCTGGGGATATATAAGAACCACCTGAAAGCCTTATGAAAATATAGATTCTGATTCAATACATATGAGGGTGGAAATGGGGCCAAACTGGAAATGAATAGTTCAAAGCCCTAGCTTAAAGGCAAGGTATGCTCCCAATCCACACATGATATAATGATATTCAAAGATACAGGAAAACTGCAATAGAAGCTCCTGTTCTGAAAGGAGAAAAGAAAAGCACACAATTGTCACTCATCCATGCCTATTATCCCACCCTGCTGTACTCCCTACTCTGGGAGTCAATAGAGAAAGCCTTTGGTTTTGCCCTTTGGGAAAATCTTATGTATTGACACCCATTTGACCATTGTTAGGCCAGTAGAAGATGCTCTACTGAAGCTACACTGCCTTCTGGTGTATAGCTTCAGGAGCTGTTGACAGCCAGGATTGTGACTTCTTCAACAAGACAATCATTTAAAACTTCAGCTGGTCTGGGGCCTATTTGCTTCTGGTCAAGTTCATGCCTCGAATAACCCAACTAACATCTTGTCTTAATGTAGTCCTTAAGCCTCACAATTCTGATCTTTTATCTACTGGCCTCTGTGCTCTGAGAGCATCTCCCTAGTTCTTAGCTTAATAGCCCCTGCGTTCAGGCAATTGAAAGTATACACTCAATGAGGAGTTGTTGTTGTTAGGTGCCTTCGAGTCTGGACCGACTCATAATGACCTTATGCACAACAGAATGAAACACCTCCACAATCCCACAGTCTTTTCTAAACTGTAGCCCATTGCTGCTACCGTTATGCCAGTTCATCTCATTGGGGCCTTCCTTTTTTTCACTAATCCTCCACTTTACCGAGCATGATGTCCTTCTTCAGGGACTGGTCCCTCCTGAACCCAGCTTGGACCTCGGCAGTTCCCTGTCAATGTACTGTTGCAGTCATTTTTGAATTCTCTTTAGCAAAATTTTATTTGCATGTGATATTAATGATATTGTCCAGTGATTTCTACATTCCATTGGGTCACCTCTCTTTGAAATGGGCACACATATGACTCTCTTCAAATCAGTTGGCCAGGTAGCTGTCTTCCAAATTTCTTGGCATAGATGAGTACCTCTGGTGCTGCATCAGTTTGTTAAAAGATTTCAATTTGTATTGCATCAATTTCCAGAGCCTTGTTTTTTGCCAATGCCTCCAGTGTGCCTTGGACTTTTCCCTATAGTACTATCGGCTCTTGACAATGTGATACCTCTTGAACTAATTGAACATCAACCTTTTTTTTTGAGACAGTGACTCTGTGTATTCCTTCCATCTTCTTTTGATGCTTTCTGCATCATTCAATATTATGCCGATTGTTGTTGTTAGGTCCTGACTCATAATGAACTTATTCACAGCAGAACAACATATTGTCGAGTCCTGTGCCAATCTCACAATCATTGCTACGTTGCCACTGTGCCAATCCATCTCATTAGAGGTGTTCCTCTTTTTTTGCTGACCCTTCACTTTACCAAGCTTGATGTCCTTCTTCAGGGATTGGCTCCTTCTTAAAATACGTCCAAAGAATAAGAAACAAAATCTGACCATCCTGGCTTCTATGGAGCATTCTGGTTGTACTTCTTTCAACACAGATTTGTTTGTTCTTCTGGCGGTCCATGGTACTTTTAATATTCTTCTTCAGCACCACAACCCAAATGCATCAATTCTTCTGTGGGCTTCCTTTTTTATTGTCCAGTTCTCACATGTATATAAGCATTTTGCACATAGAATCCTTCAGTATTTCAAGTGTTGAGACTTGAATTTTCTCTTCAGGTTTTTCAGCTTGAGAAATGCTGAACATGTTTTTCCCTTTTGGTTTTCTAACTACAGGTCTTTGCACATTTTGTTGTAATATTTAACACTGTCTTCTCGAGCTGCCCTTTGAAATTTTCTGCTCAGCTCTTTTTCCTCCTCATTTCCTCCATTTGCTTTAGCATTGCTACACTGGAAAGCAAGTTTCAGAGTCTCTTCTGACATCCATTTTGACCTTTTCTTTCTTGTCTTCTTAATGAACTTTTGCTTTCTTCCTGTATGATGTTCTTGATGTCATCCCACAACTTTTCTGGTCTTTAGTCTTTAATATCTAATTCTCAAATCTGTTCTTAAGATGACCTCTAAATTCAAGTGGGATATATCCAGGGTTATATCTTGGTTCTCGTGTACTTGTTTTAATTTTCTTCAGCTTGAGTCTGAGCTTGCATATGAGCAATTGATGATCTGTTTCACCGTCTGCTCCTGGCCTTGTTTTAGCTGATGATATGGAGCTTTTCCACCGTTTCTTTACACAGATCTAGTCAATTTTATTTGTGTGTATTCCATCTGGTGAGGTCCATGTTCAGCCATCTTTTATGTTATTGTAAAAGGTATTTGCTATGAAGAAGTCATTGGTCTTGTAAAATTCTATAATAGGATCTCCAGCATCATTTCTATCACCAAAGCCATATTTTCCAACTACTGATTCTTTCTCTTTGCTTCCAACCTTTGGATTCTAATTGCCAGTAATTATGAATACATCTTGATGGCAAGTTTGATTAATTTCAGACTGAAGAAGTTGGTAGAATTCTTCAATTCCATCATCACTGGCTTTAGTGGTTGGTGCATAAATTTGAATAATAGTGGTATTAACTGGTCTTTGTAGACATGTGGATGTTACCTATCATAGACAGCATTATACTTCGAAATGGGTCTTGAAATGTTCTTTTTGATGAAAAATATGACACCATTCCTCTTCAATTTGTCATTCATAGCATAGTAAGCTATGTGATTGTCAAATTCAAAATGGCTAATACCAGTCCATTTCAGCTTACTAATTCTAAGGCTATTGATGTTTATGCATTCTATTTCATTTTTGACAACTCCCAATTTTCATCGAGTCATACTTCGTACATTCCATATTCCAATTATTAATGGATGTTTACAGCTGTTTCTCCCTATTTGAGTTGTGCCTCATCAGCAAATGAAGGTTCGAAAGCTTTACTCCAGTCGGTGTCATCTCGGTCAACTCTACTTTGAGGTGGCAGCTCTTCACCAGTCATATTTTTTGAGTGCCTTTCAATCTGAGGGGTTCATTTTCTAGCACTACATTTGAGAATATTTTGGTGCTCTTTATCATGTTTTGATATTCAATATTCTTGTGCTAACTGACAGCGTACCACATAAGGTTTTCAGTGACTAAATATTCGGAAGGAGCCCATCTCTCCTTCTTCCTAGTCTGTCTCAGTCTGGAAACTTATCTGAAAACTGTCTACTTTGGGTGACCCTGCTGGTATTTAAAATACCGGTGGCATAACTTCTCGAATCACAACAACAATAAAAAAAACTGACAGACGAATGGTAGTCAGTGAGAATACTCTTAATGTGACCTATACCATAGGTTCATCTCTCTGAACTGGTAAGAACTCCTACAAGTGCTTGCGAAACCCAGATAAAACAAACATAATATCACTGAAGATTATATTTATATATATATATGCTGTTGTTGTTTTAAGTGCTGTCAAGTTAGTTCTGATTTACAGGAATCCTTTATATGATTTCCAAAGAGCTGCTGGTGGGTTTGAACTGCCGACCTTTAGGTTCAAAGTCCACTGCTGGTTTTACAGTGTCATATATATATATATATATATATATATTTTTTTTTTTATTGTGAT